CCCCGCGCGGCGCCCGCCCCTCTCCATTGCTGCATCGGGTGTCCGCAAGCCCGAGCAGTCGGCCTCGAGTTTGTAGGGCCCGCCTGCGCATTTACGCACACGGGCACACCCGCGCCTGCCCCGGCTCCCCTCCCGCCCGAGGCCCGAGCCAACCGACGATGACCGCCGGCAAGGTGTCCGGGACCACACGGTCCCGGCGGAGTCTCGCCCCGCCATCCAGCACCGACGAGTTTGAGCTCCTGGTACGACAGCCAGCATGTTGCCGATGACCGTCCTCTTCCCGGCGTCTGGCGGAGTGTGGGCGCTGACACGACTCCTCCCCCCCCCCCCCCCCCATGTTTGGGTCCCTTCGCCGAGCAGTCGCCCGAGGAGAAGGGCTACTTTTCGACCAACGACTTCCTGCTGAATAGTTCGGCCCCGCCGCTGCCCGTGCCGCTGGACTTGGACCTGTATAAGACGGTGCAGTGCCGCGCTCGGCGCCTGCGCCAGTCGCAATTGTACGGGCGCCGGGCCGGCCGGTCGACGGCCTTCTTCAATTCGGTCTCCTCCTTCCGCAAGGGGGTCCGGCTGTTTTTCTCCTCGTTCATCCCCTGGACCGACCGCATCAATCGCATTGAGGTCCTTTACGGCGGCGCCTACGCCTCCTTCTTCGTGATGATGCGGTGTGTCTTTTGGCGCCCATGCGCAAGTTTGCCCTCCCGTCGCCTCGGTTTGCCACTGTCCCTGTTTTGTCGCCTGTCGCCTGGTCTAATTCTCTCCCTCCCTCCCCTCTCTCGCCCCCCCCCCCCTCTCTGCCCGGCCCTAAGGTGGATTCTGTTCCTATGCTTCCTGAGTTTCGTCATGTCTCTGTGCTTCTTGTTCATCCCGGGCATGTTGGTCTTCGACTTCTCCTCGAGCCACATCGACTTCTTCCCCTACTTGCCCGATGTTTTTGTGCGTCCTGGCCACCGGCATATGCTGTTCCCCCTCCCCTCCGCCACCTCCCTCGCTGGCGTGTCCTTACCCCTGGTGCTGTGGGCTCCTTCCCTGCCATGTCCCCTAGGGCGAAGTCACTGCCACTTCCTTCTTCTTCTATGGCGGGTACCCGCCGAAGTCGGCCTCCACCCTGGGCGGCTACAACTTCCCGCTTGCCTTCTTCCTGTGCGCCATGTGCGCCCTGCTCCTGTCGGCGATCTTCATCTACAACCGGTGCGCCGCCCGCATCATGGCCAAACGCACACACATATTCCGCCATCCCCCTTTCCATTGCGCAGCCCTCGCCTTCCCTCACCGTCCAGTCTTCGGTCGCTCCCTCCCTTGCTGTCTCGGTCCCCTGCCTCCCCCCCCCCCCTCCCCTTTGGTTCTCCTCCATCCACATGCATGCACAGCATTCACGCCTTCTGGTCCGCCTCCAGCAGTATGACGCGCTCATTCAACAGCAATCTTTCCCGGTCGTCCCCCTGCGCGTCGCTGGTCTTCTCCAGCTGGAACCACGCGCTGACGGCCCGGTCAGCCATCCAGGCCCACCGGCAGGCCATCACCATTACCCTGAAGACGCACATTTCCCGGGCCAACCTCCGGCGGCGGCGTCTCCAGCGCACCACCCGTCAGCTGCTCTTCCTGTGGGCTCTGCGGTTGCTGCTGAATGTGCTCATTCTGTCGCTTCTGGTGCTGGGCATCGTCCTGATCGCGGTGTTCGCCAGTACCCCGTCGTTGCATTCGCGCACCCTGCACGTCGGCGACTATGAGGTGGAAATCAAGATCACCGCCTTGCTGATGACCGCCATCAACATCATCTCTCCATTTGTTTACGGCTTCCTCGGCGGCCTCGAGAGGTGGTCCAACCCGGCAGTCACATACAAGCTGACGCTCTTCCGGTACATGCACACCTACATGTCCATGCTCGGGCCTATGCACACATCTTTGTCCACACACGCACACACATGCACACATGGACACACGCACACACACACGCACACATGCACACATGCCCATTGAGCCCCTCAGCCATCCGCCCCAGGGCCCTCCCCTTCCTGACCCCCCTCTCCCCACTTCAGGACCTACGTCATGCGCATTTTCAGCCTGCTCTTCCTGGTGGTGGGCTATTTCATCTCCGCCTCCCCGGGCAACCCGTGGGACTTTCCCACCGGGGCCGGGGCCGGGGCCGGAGCGCTGCAGTCATTCCTGTCCATTATCGCCAGCAGCGCATCAGCTTCCAGTGGCAGCACCGTCGAGGATCGCTGCTGGGAAACCTCCCTCGGCATGGAGTTGCACAGTCTCCTGTGGACCTCCTTCCTGACGTCCAGTGTCTTGACCTTCATCAGCCCCCTCTTCTGCCGGCACTTCCTCGGCTGGCGCCATATCGAGCTTGATGTGGCCAACGATTCGCTCAATCTCATCTACTTCCAAGCCATCATCTGGTGCGCCGCCTGCCGTGTTCTCTTGCTCCCCTTTCGGCTTTCTTTGCCCCTCTCTTTCCCTTGTCCCCGGCCCCT